ATCAGAAAATGGTTGAAGTAGAAAAAGAAGAAACTCTGAGAGGTCATAGAGGAAAGACAGAAAGGAATCTCAAATATAAGGCCAGGCCAGAGAGCAGAAAAACAGGCTAGTTTTTGCTGAAAGATCATTTGAAAGAATGAGACGAAACACTTTCGAAATATTGGCTATCACAAGAAAGGGTTCATTTTCCCAGGATTATGAAAGAACGTGGAAACGAGGAGTCAGGATGCCTTGGCTCAGTCATTAGCCTGGTGGTGTCAGGAACATAACTTAGTTTATTCAATTCTCATTTTCTTCATCAAAGAAATGCAGGGTGTATGTTTTTCCTACTGCTTAATGGCAGTTTTATTTTATATTAAAAGTTTTGTAAGCTATAAATGACTATGATAATGACAGATGTTTTGCTACTTTAGTATTCTATGAAGGTGAGTTGACTTCACTTGTATGTAACAGGCAGCTACCTGTGTACTGTGATGTGAGGGGTTTCCAAAGGATTAATCGCCTGTCAAATTTCTCCTAAATTGGACATGATAAAATGATTAAATCATTTTCATGGGGTTCAAAGTTTCTATGGCCCTTGGGATAATTAATTTAAAAACATTAAGATGCAAATGTTATCAAAGACAGGGTTCAACTCAACTATGGACATCGTAGCCCTTGACTACGATGGTCCCCTGGCAATGTCTGGAGAGAATGGAGCAGAACTGCTACTACATCAAAGAGCCCAAACAGCTTGGGCTCAACATGAAAGCACTAAATGCCTATCAAGAGGACCCTTGAAGGCAAGCAAAGCGTAACAACGAGAGGACAGGCTTGTGCAAATGACTTCATGATGTGGACTTAGGCTGGTTTGTCCTGCCCAGATCGAAGATTTTTGAGAGATGGCAGCCTGTAATCTTTGTTCTTTCAAATTTCTTCTTAGTGCCATTTTTTTTTTTTCCTGAGCATGTGGCTCTCAGGATGGTGCCCTGACTAATCCTTTTAGAACTATTATGGCCTAAACAGCTGACTTTACTCCAGCAAATCTTGATCCCCTTGCAGGGGCTGCTTTTTCTGGAGCCCCTTGCATCTAGTTTGGGACTGGAAGCCTGTGGCCCGGGAAGGGATGTGTTGTGTGTTTCTCATAGACTGAGGTGGTTAAAAGGCAAATGTGTTTTCTCTGCTCTCTCTCTTTTTCTGTCAGCTTACTGATGTTGATGCCAGAGGCAATGTTGGCAACCAAGTCTTGAAGATAGACAGCCGCACACAAGGAAGGAGACTGTGCATCTGAGTCACTGCTTGGAGAGGAGCCACTGGACCAGGGACACTCACAGCCACCTGGAATGTGAGCTCAAATTTCATTTGTTATTTTAATACTAAGCCACTGGGATTTTTGGCTGATGTAGCAACTGGTGTCACTTGGATTGATGCCGCTACTGATATTAGTACATTTTCTGAGATGATTCTGTTCTCTGCAGACTGTGGTCTGTTAGCCTTTTTCCTTGAGCTGGTGCCCTTACCCGTTACCTTCTCCCCGCCCCACACCCCAGATTCTTTCTGCTTTCCCTGCAATCATGTCTTCAAGTGAATAATGAAATCAACAGAGAGCAAAGAGAACAGAGGAGCAATGATTGTTTCATTTATTAATTTTTTTTGTTGGTTGGTTGTTTGATTTGGCCACATGGTGGGAGCCCAGGAGCTGGGTGGAAGTCAAGGGCAGATGTTTGTGGGCACTGGGCTTAAGTTCCTGTGCTGGCCTTGAAAAAGACATAAACAGTGAAGGCCTTCAGTTGCAATGATACGATTTAAATTGAGAGCCAAGAGAAAGAGTGTTTTGTCACTACTTTGCATGTCCATGAAATGTGTTTCTTTTTCATATTTTACTTTCCAACTGGCAGAGCGCCCTTGGCACGTAGGATCTGTCAGTGGAGCACCTTGCAGTTATTATGTGGTCTGTGAAATTGGCACCAGAAAACATGGAGAGTTGTTTCTACCTCAAACCAAGATGTGTGCCTAGGTTTAGATGCTTGGATAGGAGAGAAAACTGAAATCCCAGGTGTTGAAGGAGGATAAAGTTACATGTACAAATTAAGT